GTCGATCTTAAGCTAGCATCATCTATCCGCGTTAGGCCTTGGCATCGTCCCATTTAGTGGCGCTTCAAAATTGACTACACAAATCCAGCAAGCTCTTTTTGTTGTCTCACTACAGCTTCTTTTTTCCCTTTTGTCCTCCTGCTCATTTATTTTGAGCCAGCACACATAAGCAATAAGTTTTATACACTTCCATCTAGCTATATAACCTTTGCTCTACATGCTTTAGGCTTGTCTTTTCTCTGGAAAATTCGCGAGGTATCGTCAAGTTAGAGTTCGATCATTTTACAAGAACAGGATGACCAATACTGTTTGTTGGAATTGCGTAACCAGAATGAAGGCGCCAATGAATGGGATGCTGCGGTAGCCTAACGCGAACATCTAACTCCGATTTAGCGACGACCCTACGGCAAAGTCTCTTTGACAAGTTGTGGCTTGGTGCGGACAATAGTGAAACTCAGTGACGATGTGGGCGAAACGTCTGAGAATGTACCAAGTCCATTGTCCGAGGCTTGGAAATTTCATAACTACTATAAAAGAGGACTTCTGACAATTGGCATTCAATTAAGTCGCCCTGACAACACGACTAAGTTGAGAAAATGAGGTCAGACAAAATTTTCTTAAATTTCAGTTCCTACTGATTGCATAAAAGTAGTTACCTTTTCACCGACTTGGTTGAGGAAGAACATCTTTGGTGGAGAGGTACCTGACGCCAAAGCTGGCCTAGTCGCACCATCTTGCCTGCATCCATTAGGCCGAATCCATAAAACATACTGTCTGAAAAGAGAAAGTAGGTAATAAAAAGGTCTTGAAATAGTAAATTAAAAAACGTTTAGAAGTTGTTTGACCTTGTTTTCGCAACTTGGTCATATTAGTAGGAAGACTTAGAGGAACGCACCTAGTCCAGAGTCGATTGTATGCATTATAATTTCCAGTCGGATCGTGGACGTGGTACATTCCCAGACGTTTCGCCAGCATCATCAGTGAGTTTTGCCACTCTTAGCACCATATAACTCATTAAAGAGACAAGTGAAGCCGATCATTTGACCAAACGTGTGCCAAACAATTGTGGTATCTTCCCTTTTGCCTTGGGCTATTCACATTTCCTATATCCTACTATCACGCCTTCACTATTACCATTTTTACCGTGCTTATTTCGATATAATGTGGTGTGCTCCTTTGAGCGGCATTCATGAAAACCCTTCGCACTCCAAGCTGTCGTTCTCACCCCCTTTACCCTTGTACTGGGAATGTTGATCAGTCTGCCATATTGTTACGCAGTCCTCCTTTCTTAGGTCTTATCACAGTCTCCCTTTTGCCTCGTAGGCTCCGTCTCCCTGGTTCGAGTATTTCACTTGACCCCTGCCACCCCATCTGTGCTCCACGAGGCGTTATGACCCATCCCCTGTGCCTGGATGACTAATTAGATTATAAAGCCTCTGAGTAAGTCTAATGGTCGATCCCTTGCTATATCGACTACGTCTATGGTAAAACAGGCCTACTGTCAACCAACTAACTCTAGTCTCCGCCGCGTCTATCCTGTTTCTATCCCTAATACCAAGTATATGACTTGCCCTAGTCTCTTGTGTGCCAACCCACAAACATTGAACCTAATCAGAGCAAGCAGTACCAAGGACCGAAGGAAAGATACCACAACTGTTTAACACACATTTGGTCAAAGGTCTGTCTTCAATTGTCTCTATGAATGTACCACGTCCCTGATCCGACGCTGGAGATAATCATGCATACAATGGACTCCGGACTAGATGCGTTCCTCTAAGTCTTCCTACCAATATGATCAAGTTCCGAAAACAAGGTCAAACAACTTCAGTAAGATATTTTGTTTGATGCACCATTAAGAGTCATTTAGTTATAATAATTTAGAAGACGAAGAAATATGTTGAAATTTTAATTGTTAAATGGAAATTTATGAGGTTTGGTGGAGCAAGCAAGGCTTAGATAAACTAAAAAATATCGACAAAGTGGCTTACAGTAACGACCTGCTGCATTCTTTGAAAAGTTGCCATCAAGAAACGGCTTCCAATTAGCAGTCATGACGATTATATGCTGGACATCCCGCCAGGACAGGCTTGGGCTGAGATCAGATAGGAAACATAAAGCGTAAAAGCAACCAAAGTAAAAATGTTTGGGAAGATCGAACATATCAATGCAGAAGCCTATTTCGTTTAAGGTGATAATAGGACTGGTACTCGCATTTTCCCACAAGTACATGCGTAAATCTTATATTTTCATTGAATTAGACATAATCTTGCTTTCGAAAAAGGTAATTTCATCCAGGGTGGACTGCAGTTTTAAAATCGCCTACGTCTTATCAGCGCCCCCAGCAAAACTCGAAGAATAATAGTGCAGCGTATACTCTAAACACGTTAACCACTATGCCACACTACGCCAATGATGAGGCATAGGCGAAGTCAAAACTGCAGTCCACCCTAGATGAGAATACTCATGAAAGCAGAATTAGGTGAAATTTAATTTAAACAAAAGGTCTACTCATATGAATGTGAAAGTTTAATTACCAGTCTCCTTATCACTTTAAACGAAATAGAGTGATTTTATCATACATATATATGATCTATTGGTAGTGTCGAAATCCTTCTTATGAACGAAAAAATATGAATGATTACTTTGCCGTCTGATAACATGAGACTTCCTAATACTAATTAACAGAATCAATTAGAAGACCAGTCTTAAAACAGATTCAACTGTGACCTAACAGCCATATCCCCTATTAAATCAATAATATTTTTGATTCTGCAATTTTGCCGTATGTGGTTGCGATCCATCGCTCGTGTGTCATGTGCATGCAATGATCGTGATATGTGTGGGGTGAGAATGTGTAAACCAGATTTGAGGTTAATTAAGTCTTCCCATCTTGTTCGGTCGTACTTCTTATTACCACTCTCTCTATTATGTTGATTTCTATATATTCCATAATGTTCCGTTTACTGACATAATCTTAATATCCAGCCAAGCGTTTGGCTTTAGCCTAGTCTATCTGGTGTCTTGTGTCGGTTGGACCCACAAACCTTTGCAGGGTGTTTCATGTTCGGATAACATCTTATGTATGAATAGGCAAGTATGTTTCACATAGACGCTACCACATGAAGACACACATTATAGCAGCCCGATTTTAAGAAAGGGTTTGAAACTTTCCTCCTGATACAATGTCCTGATTTTTCACTTCTTCAGCAATTCACATATCTTTTTTTGAGAGCTGACATGAAGGTAACATCATGACCATTGTAGAGTGGCCCAACTGACCAGGTTGCCCTAAATTATTAATTGACTCAATCGTATTTGCTAATACTTTAAAGTACTTGTCAATCAATCCTAATTTGTGATAGTTTTCATCGTATAGTTTCCGTAATCGCTTCAGTTCTTGTTCCCGATAATTAACACATGCAAGGCGTAGGCTGCTTATTATCATGTATTTCATACTCTCTTATTTAATCTCATAAGTATGGTTTTAAAAGCAATTCAAAAGGAATAAAATATGTGTGTTTTATACCCAGTTTGGTTCCCTCTTAGCTAATTAGGACATCTATAAAAGATAGACTAACATTATTTTCTGATTTCATGGTAAACTTTGCCTCCCCGTTAATTCTATTCATTAGCATTAGGAATTTTTGTAGGCTGTCAGTGCCGTGTTGCCAAATAAAAAAGTGGTCATCCATAAACCCAGGTAATAATTTAAAAACTAAAAGTATTTCATGTATTAAGCGACTTTTTGATTCAGCCATGTAGTTATTTTCCAAAATTGAGAATAAATGCAATCCCATGGCTAAGCCCCTGTTTGTTTCTACAATTTACCATTGAAAGTAAAACAGGCACAGCTCATCACTACATTTATAGACATCACTATTGCCCCCTTACCAAAATTTGTACTTCTCAAAGTATTCGGGCATTGATCCAATATTAATATTCCACTTACAGGAATGTTTGTGTACATCAAAACTAGTAGACAAATCCTCACCTATCATTTGCTCATCGACTAACTGAACAAATTAATAAGAATTCTCTATTAAAAACTGTCATTCATAGGCAACTTGCTTTATTTCTTGACAGATATAGTTATGCTGAATGCGTCACGCTACCTTTATTATTAAAAATAAAGGGATTCATTCCTTAAGTATCTTTGACAGACTACATGCATTCAGGAGCTTGAAATCTTGCCAAAGATGTGTAATCATTTTCCATTTATCTAATACAATCTTGATTACAGAATATCGCACACAACCCCTATGTATAGACTCCAGGGTCCTTACTGATACTCTTATACATTAAAATATAATCTGGTGTCTGCATTATCTTTCTTCATAATTAAACTTCTCTATCGAAGGTATGAAGAGCAAGATGGTGAGGACTTATGTGTGGTCGCAGTCTCTTTTCGTTGTATAGAGGTTGTTTGGCCTTGCTTTCGCAACTTTGTCATATTGGTAGGAAGCCTTAGAGGAACGCACCGAGTCTGGAGTCTATTGTATACACGATCGTTTTCAAAGTCGGACCGTGGACGTCGTACATTCCCAGACTTTTTGCCGGCACCGTCAGTGAGTCTCGCCATTCTTAGCACAACACAACAACTCGTCAAAGTGACAAGTGAAGCCGGTCCTTTGACGAAACATGTGCTAAAAAATTGTGGTATCTCTCCTTCTGCCCTGGGCTATTCGCATTTCCTATATCCTCCTATTACGCCTTTACTTTTTAGCACACGTTTGGTCAAAGGATCGGTTTCACTTGTCTCTTTTACGAGTTGTAATGTGGTGCTACGAATGGCAATACTCACTGACGATGCCGGCAAAGCGTTTGGGAATGTACCACGTCCACGGTCCGACTTTGGAAATAATTATGCATACAATGGACTCCTGAAAAGGTGCGTTTTTCTAAGTCTTCCTACCAATATGACCAAGTTGCGAAAACAAGGTCAAACAACTTCTTAAAAATATGTAAATGAATATGCATGAGGAATTTTTTTGGATTAGAGCTCACTTGGCTTCGAGCAGTAGAGCAATTATTGAAGCGGCAAGAGGAGCGCTGGCAGAAGTACCTGTATGTGCCTCTGTGCAGCTATCATTCAAATCTATGGTAACCTAGAATATAAAGAAGTACAAAAAAGAATAATGATAAATAGACCCCAAAAATAGAGTATGATGACAAAGTAGAATATGGCTATATAGGGAAAAACATGGACTACGTTTCAAATAATTCGACCAATATACACTTGTCATTCGTCTACGAATTCATTTGTCGAGTGTCTTCATGTAAGACAATTATAATTATGGGTAAATAAATGGCCTTATAAAACTCATAGGTGTTGCCCCCGATTTCAAAGAATTATGGCTGCAAGACAGGCTACACTGAATTTTTTTTTACATATAGTTAAATGGACATTTGTAACTTTTTGAGGCATAAACACATCAGTCCTTCAAGGGGATAAGACAAATAGAATGATAAAATTAAAAATATTCATACCTGCCTCTGGCTCTATAATAATCCGGAGGGTTTCTGCCAAACATATTCTGATCTTAATGTTTATCTTTTTATTTTCTAGTAAAAGAGTTCCTAGAAAGTGATAATCATTTTGCCTCTGAATGGAAAAGCTAAATGATATGTTGTTCTTCAAATAAGTGTGCAAAAAAATTTACAATCATTCTCTCTGAGGGAGACCCGCTGTTATAGGTGCTGGTCAGAGTTGAAGAACAGGGCTCCAGATACCAAGGGCGATGGTTTAGTTCGCTAACGGCGCTGACTGAGATCGTGAACAGACTACTTGAATATCCATCACAGGCACAAGAATCGCCTGCTTGCCCGCCATTCCCAGAGGCCCAGACGTAAATGTTACCGCGACCTTGGCGACCCTGACGAGTGAAAAAGATAAAAGTAAATGAAAAAGTTGAACACTTGAGATGGGGCAACACTTAAGAGTAAGATGGTACTCCAATTTCGTTCATAAAACGTGGAAGGAATTTCCAAATTTGCTTAATTAAAAAACTAAAAAGGACAGCTTTAGAGTTGTGCTAAGACACGCTCAGCACGCTGTA